AATATGAGTTACCAATTTAAACTTTTTGAGTACGGTTAACTAAAAATGATTTGAACCACTTGTAAGCTGAATCAATTATACCTATTTCACTAGTTAAAAGTATATATATATATATATATATATATATATATATATATATATATATATATATATATATATATATATATATATATATATATATATATATATATATATATATATATATATATATAATATATATATATAAATGTTTGCAAATTATTCTGTAGTAGATATGCTGGAATTAGATCATCAGGAGAACATTTTACTCCAAATGACACAGTGATTTTGTAAATTTCTTCATATGTGGTTGGATCAAAATTTCTTAAAAACTGCCCATTATAATCTGATGTGTTTTTCTTTGTTTGGGATATTTAAAGACCAGACCTGAGTTTTCTGATTTTTTTAGTAAAATAATTATTCAAATTTTTAGCTAGTTCTTCATCTGAATGGGCTTTTGGTAGTACTTATTCTTGAGTTTTATTTAGTAGCTTGTTTATCAATGAGATAACATAAGTTGCATACAGGTGAACACACCCCAAAAACTAAGATACCCCAAAAACAGCGTGGTCAGTTATATAGCTATAAAAATTTAAATCTGTACTTTAAAACCACGAAAGAAATGTTTTTTGATACATGAATGTTTCAGTAACAATTAAAATAAAGGAAAACTAAGATAACAATATAAGAAAATTTTTACAAATGTTTTCAGTTAAAAAATGTGTATAAATTTTTTGGAATTTTTAAGAATAATTGCTATAAAATAGTGGTTTTTCAGACTAAATTTGCAACTCCAATCTAGTTAACTTATTTTTTATATATTCTATACATAAATCAAACCATTTGCATTTTAAGTAGAAAGGAAACATGTAAAAATAACAATTAAAATGTACAATTCAACATGTGGTTTTTAGGGTGCATTAAAAAAAGAATTAACCAGAATCAATCTTTTTCACTAAATTTGCACAAAATTTATAGAAATATCTCATTAAAATAATTGGTTCATTTCTTTCTAGCACCTGCTAATAAAATCATTTATGGATTTTGTCCATTTACTTTGCAATTTACTTTGCTGCAAACAGACTTCATAACATTAAGACAGGTTAGACACTGCTTCAAGCCGAAAGCTTTACATTTTGTCTCCACAATTACATTGAAGCATACATTTAATAAAAAGTTTTTTAACTTCCTCTTTTTTTTTTCAGCATCTTCTTTTTCTTTTAACTTTTTTTCTTTGATTCTTTTTATGGATTCAGCTACAGTTAATACATTGTTTGCTGTCATTGAACCATGTACTTGGGTAACGCGTGTCATATCTTTTGATAATTTAGGCTTTACCTTTTTGGTTACCATAAGACCTAGTATTTCTTCCAGTTGAATACTTTTTTCGTGAAGTTCATCAATCAGTTCCATAGCTTGTTTGAACTTTGATTTCCAGTAACTTGTTGAACAACGTCTTTTATCAGGCGAAGAAATTAAGGGAGATGGCTGTTTCTCTGCTTCAATACAGTTTTCTGCTCTTTCAAATTTATCTTTTTGCATAAATTCAACACTCAATGAGTTTTCAGTGACACCAACCCTTCTAGCAGATTTTATAATAGTTTCTTTGGTTGCCCATTTGTCCCATATATTAGCTAGAACTAACATAAAAGCTTCTTTATTTAAGGAGCAGATAACTGAAAACATAAAGTCTTTCTGTTTACGATACTCGCTATGAACGTTCTTATTTACTTGGTCAAGAAGTTGAGTAACTCTTGTTGTGTCTGGTGGAGCGGCAAAGAGACGAATTTTTTTCAACTCAAGAAAAGATAAATTATCAAAGTCTAGTCTTGAGCTATGTCCATCTGACAATAAGATGATGGGTCGCTTAACATTTTTTCATTTAAGTAGACATGGAATTCTTTCAATGCTGCCAAGAATGATTCATAGTTTGATGCTCCATTTTCTGATGTCGTAACCAACAAATGTGGAATTTTATTTGCTGCTTCTGTTGGAACCATACAACTTGTAATACCAGTACATTTAAAAATCACCTGGCACATATATATATCCCCTTAAAATAAAAATTGAAAATCATTTTAAGCAAGTATTATTATTTATACATTTTTTCTTAAACCACATATTATTGCATACCTTGTGACACATTCTCTGTTTTCTCTATACATTCTTTGACATTCATCCCCTTTGCCAGCATAAAATAACCCAGAATTGGTACCATCAACCCCATAGTTAATAAATAGGGGTGTTTCATCACAATTAAGTATTCAACAATTAAATATTCAATAATCAACAATGCCATTCCAAACCCCTGCTTCAATTTTCTCTTCATTAACCATAACACCAACTTCTACTAGTTCTTTAACAAGTGAATCTGATATATATTACATAGAAATAAATATATTTAAAAATGTAGAATGATACTTATTTATAAAAATTTTCAAACTGATACTTAAATGATTACATGCCATTTCCCTTGAACAATTCAGTGCATGGTTTATAGACACTCTTCCTTGTCGCTTGATGGTAAGACTGCTATGTTTAGCATTAAAGCGAAGCCAAAATGATTTACTTAATCTATTAATTATATATTTTGAGATGCATATGATGTGGTTTTTGTAGTACATTTGAAGTGTTCTATAAAATATAAGTTAGCAGTGATGCAATCATCCTAAGAGCAATTTATTATAACAATCTTCTTCAAAAAATCAGGTTAAAGTTCTTAACAGTTAAGAAATTATAGCTAAATTAGTTAATGTGGTTTTTGGGGTGCATGGCGAAAAAGAGTCAGCTTCAACATTCAAGCAAAAGAAAACAAGTGAGACATATTAAACCATACCTATCAGGAAGAACCCCATTTAAGCTTATTTTTCAATAGTAATAACTTAAAAAATATTATTTTTCTCAAGAAAAAAAGTTTTAGGCTCTTCTACTTTTATGTGGTTTTTGAGGTGCAACCACCTGTATATTCTCTGTCATACCAAGGAGCTCTTTTGACTATTTTTATTTTTTTTATTTTTAAACGGGAACGTTTCTGCACAATCTCTTTCATTATTTGGTTATTTTGTCTTTCATATTTTCAGCTGATGATATTTCTGGTTTATTTTTTGACATTTAATTGTTAAAGGACTGTACGTCCACTATTTTTAAATTTTTGGTAATTGGTATAACTTTTTTTTCTATTTTTTGTTCTATTTTAAAATCAATGAGAAAATGATCACTCAAATCCAAGATTCTTACAGTAAGCATAACTACTGGTATTCCATCTGGCAGTTTATTACTACATCTAGTATGTTTCTTTAGTAGTAGTTCTTTAGTATCTAAGCCTATGTTTATATCACCCACTATAAGGTATTTGCAACCTGTTGATACTATCTTTTCAATTAAATCCATGAGTTCATCCAGAAATGAGAGAAACAAATATTAGTCTATAAATGCTAATTAAAATTAGTGATCTAAAAAAAACTGTCTGGATTCTGGTCAAGTATATACTTTATTACATCTGGAAGTTTGTTAGTAATAGATCGAACATTCCATAGTGAGGATAATATATAATTTATGTAGGTTTTATCATCTTTTTAAACTTGACATTTAAAAAATTAATTTCAAGTGTTTCTTTCAGGGTATTTTTTTCTCTCTCAAGTGAAGGATGTTTAATATCAAATGCGCAATGAAACTTATCATTTTGTCCATCTAAAACACATTTAACACATTTTTTATCCATTGAAGAACACTGATCAGTCCAATGTTTTTTGCTACATTTAGCACATATTGGTTCTTGTTTTTGCATTCCTTTGCAAAATGTCCAAAGCTTTGACAGTTAAAACAACTCATTACATTAAGTTCATCATATATTCTTCCAGAAGTTAATCCAAGTGTTTTGTTATTTTGTTTTTATAACATTGAAAACCTCTTAATATTTTATTTACTTTTGCAAACACTTAAAACATTGATGGTTTATTTTTTATTGGTTTGATAGCTTCTATTTTAAATGATCTTTGATGTTTTTCACCTTGCTAAATTCTTGGATAAAACTGTTTTGTGTGTGCAGCATATTAACAACTTCATTTTAATTATATTCCTTAGGTAAACCACTGATAATAATTTTTTGCATGTTTAATTGATATGATTTTATTTTTGTTTGATTGTTTGTGTCTTTGAGAGAATTCAATAATTGATCTTTAGATTCTTCAGAGTTACATACTAGAACAAGATTTATTATTATATGAATTTTTCAATTGAATATTATTATTCATGGCTATATTTTCAATTACACCTATGTTTTATTTGTTAATTTTTTCATCAGATATTATATATAAATAAATTCAATTATTTTAGTACAATTTAAGTTGATCATTTAATTTGTTTAGATTAGAAAAGCTTACAAGAGTAAAGTCAAAACCTGTCTCTTCTCTTCATTTCTAAATTCATCTAAAAATTCTTCTCTTTCTATAAATTCGTTTATAGTACATTGAAAACAAGCATCACTTTTTTCAGTTCCTAAGGCATTTGTCTAAGCTGGAACAAATTGCCATTTACTTCGAAAGCTGTAAGTTTTCTATCATTTTTGGTAAAAAAAGTTTGGCGGAAGGCTAGTATCAAATCCACATTACTGAATATTTTTTATTGAGCAATTTTATTGACTAGATCATCAATCCTTTTTGAATGAATAAGCATCTACTTTAGTATATTTATCTATTGTTTGACTGTAAACAATGACTAATCTTTTTTTAGAATGTTCTCCTTTAGTTATAGCTACTTGCAATCTCCAGGGAAAATTTGGAAGGTTCAATGTCCTATTTAAGCATTTTGTATTTCCATCTCTGATCTTCCTCGCTATATCAACAAGATTTTGAAACAAATGGTTTACAACTAGGTGATAGAGTGCCAATAAGTTCGGTAGGGGTACTTTTAACTTTGACAAACCACAATTTATTATTGGAGGTCTTTTTCCTTCAAATTTAAAGAGACTACCAAGTCCCGAGACATGTTGTGTTCATATTAAAGAGAATGTTAAAAAAAAACGTCTGAGCAAATTTTTTTTGATTAAAACTAATTAATAAATGTATACCAAAAAAAACAAATCTTGTTGTTTTAGTCGAAGCTCGTCTTCTCCGTTTTCTCTGGTATTTTGAGTATGTAAAATAAACGGGATTTTCCAGGCACATTATACAGACTTGATAATTTATTCAAGCGCGTTTAATTCATAGGAGTTTTAGTGCATGACGTCATAGATTTTTTTTTGTTTGTTTAAAACACCGATTGTTATTTTTTACATACAATTTCTAAATCATATTCATTTTTATTATATTTTAAAGTTCTAAAATATGTTAGTAAAACAAAATTAAAAACAAAATAAAATTGAAAACAAAATATAATTAAAAACAAAAATAAAATATAAAACAAAATAGTATTTTATTTGCGCAACTTTTTTTAAATAATTGTCTAGACCACGCGTATTTTGATTTCTTTATAAGTTTTTCTTTCAAAATATTAGATAAAATAATTTTTAACCTAAATAATAATGCACTTTTTTAAATTTACTTTGTAGATATTAAAAAAAAATTATTAACGCATTTTTTCTCTGATTTTCAAAAATGTATTTTTTGGTCTTGAGGTGATCTTATTTCATTATTTATATTTCCATTATAACATCCAATGTATATTATGGCGGGGGCTTAAAAATTAAAAAATTAATATATATTAATTTTTATTTTACAGACATACATGGAAACATAATTAACTTGAATGTTCTTAAAACATCTTGCAGAAGAATAAAAAGAATATTCGCGAACACTAAAAACCCGCCAAATTTGCGAACAAACTAATTCTATTGGTTCAAAAAACACGCTGACTAAGCGAAATAAAGTTCTAGAGTATTCTGTTGAAGTGTTATTGGAATTGTATTATTTACGATTTGTTGCGTTTTGAGATATCTAGCATAAATTTTTTTAAGAATATATTATCAAATGAACTATTACTTTAATATTATGGCTCATTCTCGGAGCCCCATCTGTAAAGCCGTAAAACTTTTAAACTATTATAATTTGTTTACAAAAATAAATGTTTTATATTTAAATTGTCCAAATTTTGAAAATTAATTTCAAGTTATATATTTTATTAGTATATTCTTAATTTTTATATCTTTTCTTAGTGCTTGGTTTAATTAATTGTTCGTTAGATTTGTAAAAAACTAACGAACAATTAATAAAATAAACTTTTAATAAAACAAGTAACTATAGTTAGCTATTTGACTAATATTTAATTAAAGAATTTCTAGAATGTTTCCAATGACGTCATGCTCTAAAACTCCTATGAATCAAACGCGCTTGAATAAATTATCAAGTCTGTATTATGCGCCTGGAAAATCGGTTTATTTTACATACTCAAAATACCAGAGAAAACGGAGAAGACAAGCTTTGACTAAAACAACAAGATTTGTTTTTCTTGGTATACATTTATTAATTAGTTTTAATCAAAAAAAATTTGCTCAGACGTTTTTTTTTAGCATTCTCTTTAATATGAACACAACATGGCTCGGGACTTGGTAGTCGCTTTGAGGGTTGCATAATTATGTTGGTTTTGAATATCAAGGAAGTACATTAAATTTTATTGTTTTTAAAAAAACCCACAATAACAGGCTTGGACAGGAATGGCGTGAGATCGAACGCTATTGCTGACCACACAAATGATTTTATTTTTTGACAACTTGACCATGATTGCATAATAAAAAAATGAGAATATGTTTTGATGAGTTAAAAATTTCAGAAATATTCTGAATGTAGAAACGCTAAGCTAAACTTAAACTAGGAAAAAAAAAAAAAAAAAAACTAACGAAAAAATAATTCCTAACGAAAAAAGAAACAAAAAAGAAATTGTATAAGCACTAAAATAAAAATAAAAACTTAAACTCGGAGCGAATCTTTTGGTTACGTTTTTAATTACGTATGAAATAAACATTATTAAAGCTTATCTTTTTAGGCGTTATTAAAGTTACGCAAAACATTTTTAAATTAAGTAGCAAATTACTACTAATGATTGGTTTAATAAAAGAACAAATTTTATTAAATTCACTCTATCACCTTTCTCTTTGTTCTATATTGCTCTCCCTCATCTCAAGACTGCACTCTTCTTGATGTTATTTCTGATTATATTGACCAAGCCCTCATTCTTTATCCATCAGCCAATATTGTTGTTGTCGGTGACCTTAATGTTCATCACACTGAATGGCTTGGCTCTAGTGTCAGTGACTCTGCAGGCATTAAGGCCCACAACTTTTATCTTTCTCAATCCCTAACTCAAATAGTCAACTTTCCAACTCGCTTTCCAGACAACCCGAATCATTTACCTTCTCTACTCGATTTATGTCTTGTTTCTGATCCTAGTCAGTGCTCAGTTTCTTCACACTCACCCTTAGGTGCGTCTGATCATTGTTTGGTCTCTCTAAAACTATTGTCTCATTCTTCTTTACCATCAGAATCCCCCTATCACGGTACATCTTACAACTACCTTAAAGCTGACTGGGACTCTTTCTGTGATTTTCTTCGTGATAGCCCTTGGGTAGAAATCTTTCGTCTCCCTGTTGACAAATGTGCTTCTTACATAACTTCGTGGATTCAGGCTGGCATGGAATCTTTTATTCCCTCTCGACAATTCCAGGTCAAGCCTCACTCTTATCCATGGTTTTCCTCACATTGTGCTGCTGCAATTGCTAATCGAAACAATTGCTTCCATATCTATCAGCAAAACAATTCTCCAGAAAACAGGCGTCTGTTTATAACTGCTAGGAACCATTGTAAAAAGGTTTTGTCTAACGTCAAAGCCGGCTATTCTCAGATCATGAAATCTCGTATTTCATCACAAAAATTAGGCTCTTGTGACTTGAAAACCGGAGAATCTTTAATAGTATCAATAATAAGGGCAAGTCTGTAATTCCACCTCTTTTGTATGGTTCAGACTTTGTCACCTCACCTAAAGACAAAGCTGAATTGTTTGCCAAGAACTTTTTATCAATATCATCTCTTGATGCCACTAGTTGCAATCTACCTGATATAGCCGTCAAACAGGTTGATTCATTGCTCGACATTCGTATCACTTCAGCTTCTGTATCTAAAGTGATTTCCCGCTTAGACTCTTCTACAGCTTGCGGCCCGGACAACATACCTGTTATAGTCTTGCAGAAGTGTTCTCCGGAGCTGTCATCTATCCTTTCAAAACTATTTAACAAGTGCTTATCAGAGTCTTGTTTTCCAGCCTGCTGGAAAGCAGCATCTGTTATCCCTGTTTTTAAAAATTCTGGAGAGCGATCTGATTCATCTAACTACCGTCCCATTAGTCTTCTTCCTATCATAAGCAAGGTTTTTGAATCTTTAACTAGCAAACACTTAATCTCTCATCTCGAATCTCATAACCTACTTTCTGATCATCAATATGGATTTCGATCTTCTCGTTCTACAGCTGATTTGCTATCAGTAATAACCGATAGGTTTTATCACGCATTAGATAAAGGTGGAGAGGTTAAGGCCATCGCTCTTGACATTTCTAAAGCGTTAGATAAAGTTTGGCATGCTGGTCTTCTCCATAAGTTTTCTTCTTATGGTGTATCTGGAAACATCTTTAAAATTATTGAATCCTTTCTTTCCAATCGTAGTATAAAAGTTGTCCTTGATGGACAGCACTCTTCTTCTTATTCTGTAACCTCAGGGGTTCCCCAAGGTTCAATCCTTGGCCCTATACTCTTTTTAATTTACATTAACAATCTTCCAGATATTCTTAAATCTAAGGTGGCATTGTTCACTGATGATACTACCATTTATTCTTGTCACGATAAGAAGCCAACTCCCTCTGATTGCTTGCAGAGGGCAACTAAGCTTGAAAAGGATCTCACCTCTGCTACAGCATGGGGCTCACATCGGCTGGTGAACTTTAATTCAGATAAAACTCAATTTTTTTCAGCCAATCGTTATCGCAATAATTTAGACCTTCCTATATTTATAAACAGTAATGTACTCGATGAGTCTCCTACCCTTCATCTTCTAGGATTAACTCTTACTTCTGATCTTTCTTGGAAACTTTATATCAAATCCGTTGCAAAATTAGCATCTGGTAAAGTTGCTTCTTTTTATCGAGCTCGTCACTTTCTTACTCTGGATTCTATTCTCTATCTCTATAAATCTCAAATCCGGCCTTGTATGGAATACTGTTTCCATATCTGGGGCGGATCTTCTAATGATGCCCTTTCTCTTTTAGACAAGGTGCAAAAACGCATTGTAAACATAGTTGGACCTGCTCTTGCAGCCAACCTTCAACCTCTGTCACATCTTCGTAATGTTGCTTCTCTTTCTCTTTTCTACAAATACTATAATGGGCACTGCTCTATAGAGCTAGCGTCTCTTGTGCCATCTACTAAAATTCATTCTCGTGTTACTCGTCATTCAATCAAGTCTGATCCTTTTTCTGTTACTGTTCCTAAGTGTTCCAAAAACTCTTAATCGTCTAGTTTTTTTCCTCAAACATCAGTTCTTTGGAATTCACTTCCTTCATCTTGCTTTCCTGATTCATATAATTTGCAATCTTTTAAGTCGCCTGTCAATCGTTATCTTGCTCTCCAATCTTCATCTTTTCTCTTCCAGTAACTTCCAACCCTAATTAGTGGTTGCTTGCAGCCTTGTTGGAAGCAAAGATAATTAAAAAAAAAAAAAATCTATTAAAAAGTGTTTTATATAATATTTTGAAATTGTATAAACATTTTTTTTGTCAAAAAAGTTGCAAAAAAAAAATTGTTCAAAAAAATAACGTGGTCTTTTCAAAATAGTAATTTTTACTAATTTCATGCTCTAATTAGTGAGTCTAATTGAAAAAAAAATTTTGAACTTTTTTATTCGTAAAAATAGAAAGAAAAAAAATAAATAAATAAAACGTGCCTGCGATTTAAATAAAATGAATTATCAACAAGCTTTTTAGTTTAATTTAATTTGGGCATTAC